GTAGAGGATAGCGAGTCTCGGCATCCGTCAGTGTATGACTGACGAAGTAGATCGGTTGCTGACTTTTACTTTCTTCCTTCAGCAATACTGCGCTGATGGTGGCTGGGCTAACGGCCACATATAGGTACAAAGTTTCTCCTTCAGCTGGGCTAGCCAGCATTGGGAGTTGAGCCAGATGCTCCCGAAGCTGTTTAAAGGCGTCTTTTTGCTCTTCCTCCCAAACGAGCTCTTTTGTTTTCGGGAGTTTCAGGGCTTTGAAGAAAGGTAACCCCTTATCCGAAGCTCTGGAAATGAACCTCGAGAGGGCTGCCATTCTTCCGGTGAGCCGCTGAACATCCCGCTTCGTTTTCGGCTCAGGAAGGTCGAGCGCCGCTTTGACTTTAGAGGGATTGGCATCAATCCCCCTTTTGCTGACTATGAACCCAAGGAATTTCCCTGACTTCACGCCGAAGACACACTTCTTCGGATTCAGCTTCATTTGATGCTTTCTCAAGGTGGCGAAAGTTTCAGCCAGGTCCTTTACATGGTCCTCTGGCTTTTTTCTTTTGACGATCGAATCGTCAACATAGACTTCCATGTTTCGGCCCTTTTGATCGGCAAAAACTTGATCCACCAGCCTTTGATAGGTTGCCCCTGCATTTTTCAATCCGAAGGGCATCATTTTGTAATTGTACACCCCAACGTTCGTGACGAATGTTGTCTTTGCTCGATCGTCGGTGTGCATAAAGATCTGATGATACCCCGAGAATGCGTCCATGAAACTAAGCAAGGCATGGCCACTTGTCGAATCGACTAGCTGATCGATCCTCGGCAAGGGATAGAAATCCTTCGGACAAGCCTTATTTAGGTCCGTGAAGTCAACGCACATCCTCCAGGTACCATTGGGCTTCTGAACCATCACCACATTTGCCAGCCATTCTGGATATTGGCAAGGTTCGATGAATCCTGCCTCCAACAATTTTTTGACCTCGGCTGCGATGTCTCGGTTCTTATTGGCGGAGTAATTCCGCTTCTTTTGCTTAACTGGTCGACACGTTGGGTCAACATTAAGCTTATGGGAGATGAGGTCTGAACTTATCCCGGGCATATCAGCTGCCGAGAAAGCAAACACATCTCTGTTGTCCCGAAGGAGCTGAATAAGTTCACAACGGGTGTTCGGATCAAGGTCCATCCCGATTGTTACACATTTCTCAACGTCTCCTTCGGTCAACTCAACCGTTTCAGTCTGTTGGTCCATGTCCATTGCTGATGGACTGGACTCTTCATAATCTGGCCTGCTGCCAATGTCGGCAGGTGTCCCAGTCTTTTTGTTCTTCGGCTGGCTCTCTGAGTCTTGCGGCTCAGCTGAAGAGCTAGCCTTTTCCCTTTCGGGCCCTTTACCTCTGGGTACAGATCCTTGGGCCGAAGCACTTAGGCCTTTCGGCTTTTTTGTGCTTGGCTCTCTTTCTTTTTCTTTATCCTCCTCATCCTTGTCATCTGGGCGACTATTGGATGGTTTGAGGTAGTTGCACCTTCGGGCGTCCTTTTGGTTGCCCTGTATCCTTTCGGGGAAGCCGGCGTTTGAGACGTAAATCATCAGCTGATGATAAGTTGAGACGACCCCTTGGATCTCATGAAATATGGGTTTCCCAAAATCACGTTGTACACTGAAGGAGCGTCAATGACCAAAAATTCAATCATGACGTTCCTGGCTGCCTCATCGCAGCCGATGGTGACAGGAAGTGTCACCTTCCCATCTGGATAAGTTGAAGCCCCATTGAACCCGGATACCGGGTAGGGTACCGGCGTAAGATGCTTGGGCTTCAGCTTGATTTGATTGTAGGCCTTTCGGAACAGAATGTTTGCTCCGCTGCCACCGTCAACAAGGACCTTACTGACGTCGTGGTTGGCCACCGTGGCGATGATCACCAACGGATCCTCGTGAGGGAACGTAATCCCCCGGCAGTCGGCGGCTGTGAACGTCATGTTCGGCACCGGCGACTAGGGAGATTGAATGTCAGCGTTGTTCACCTGGTGAGTCAAAGCTCTAAGGTGTCGCTTGTGCTCCCTCCGAGAGTATGTTCCTCCCGAGATAACATTGATCGGAGGGAGTTTCCCCTCCGGCTTTTTACTGTTTTTCCGGGGGAAGTCGAGGTCTTGCCGAGAGTCCTTTGCTGACTTCTCGGATTCTTTTTTCTCGCGGTGATCCGCGATGTATTTTTTCAAGTATCCCTTCCGGACCATGTCCTCTATCTGGTCCTTCAGTTGGATACACTCCTCAGTGTTGTGTCCCGAAGACACGTGGAACTCGCACCACTGATTTTTATTTTTTCGCTGATACCACTCTGGGAGTGGTCTCAGCTTTCGGTAACTCTGCTCTTCCTTCGTCACGCTGTAAATTTTGGCGCGTGGAAGAGAGAGCGGAGTGTAGGACTCGTATCTGCCTGTGTATGAGGCAGATCTTTCCTTCTTTGGGTCGCTGGCCGAAGATTGCTCCGAGGCCTTTGACTTTCCCTTTGCCTTATGGCCTTGGCCTTCAGACAAGGGTACTTGTCTTTGTTTCCCTCCCCCAAATTGAGGTTGGGTTTTCGCTTTGTTCCATTCTTCGGCTCGGATGAACTTATCCGAGGCATTCAGAGCTTCCTCCAAGGTCTGCGGGGTATGCATGACCATGAAGTCTAGGAACTTTCCGGGCTGAAGGCCATTCTGCATTGCAAAAACGGCTAGCCCCTGGTCCAGCTGAGAGACGATGGATGACTCGTTACTGAAACGGGTCAGATAGTCTCGGAGGCTTTCGGTTTCCCCCTGTTGTAGACTCATGAGCTCTGCAGTAGTTTTCTCTCGGCGGTTTGCCGTGGAAAACTTGCTCCTGAACTTGGAGGACAAATCATCCCACCCTGTTATGGAGCCTTGCCTTACTCCCTTGGAGATCCACGCTTGCGCGACCCCCTTGAGAGTGGTTGGGAAATATTTGCACCAAGTCGCCTCGGATCTGGGGCAAAGATTCATATGAGTCTCATACGAGGCCACGTGATCCTTCGGATCCGAGGTCCCGTCATATGTGATGTGCGACGGTATTTTAACCGTGGGCACGCGCTCTTCCAGTATCCATTGCTCGAATGGTGAACTGGCGGGTAGCATAACGGCCTTGCCCTTGTTCCTGGCCGAAGGGACCGCGCTCCGCCCGCTTAGAGAGGTAGGAGTGGTTTTCGTCCCTGGCTGGGAAGTCTGGGCCTCGGCTGCAGGGAACGAGAGGCGACTGCGCACGCTCGGTTCCTTGCCGCCGAGTCGGTCAAGGACTCTTCGGCGAACAGTCTGAGGTTCTCGGTGAGTAGATTTTGGCCGAGAAGCTGAGCTGCTGCTCTTATGCGTTTCTGGTCTTGAGGATGAGGATCCTTTTAAAAATTGAGGGTTCTTTTTCCTCTCTTTTTCATTTTTCCAGGAATCCTCTTCCCACTCTTCCAGTTCCCGGAAGGAAGGAAGCTTCCCACCATCATGGTCTAACTTCCTCCGCTGATGCCGGGTATGCGGAGGAGTTCGATCACGAGGTGGTGGCATATTTTGTGCCCTCATCGCCTCCATGAGCACTGCCAGCGCTCTTGCCACCTCTTCCGAGCTGGGCCCCGTCAAAGGGGTCCTCGGCCGAGTATGGGAATGAGGGCGCACAGCCGATGGTTGGCTTTGGGGCACTGAATGTGTCCTATGATCGGACTCACCCCTGCTAGACCGAGAGTGACTCGGCCTATAATGAGAGTCATGAATTACGGAAGAAAGGGAATCCTCCTTGTATGATCCTCCCCCGAGCTGGCACCCTTGGGAGAGTTCCGGTCCGGCGAGGGTGATGGTGTAGGGGTTTTAGGCTTTTCGCCCGCTCCTTGACGGAGGCTTTTGCTCTTGCGGTTCTTAGCCATTGCTACTAAGATAATTGCAAGATGATCTTGGTTAGAAATTTTGCTTAAAGATTTTTGAAAGTCTTCCCCACAGGCGGCGCCAAATTGTTTCGGGTGAAAACAATGGGACCTTTCCGAAGGTCCGCTGAAACGGAGAAGACTGGATTCGATCCAAGTTATGTTGGGCCGAAGGTTTCCTGCACAGTAAACACACGTAAACTAGCCTCGGGGGTGTTGCCGAGGAAGGCCCCTCCGATGCTAAAGTCAGTACAATGTGTAGAAAGAGAACACTATGCATGAGAATTTGTTGCTTGAGGCTTTATTTGAGTATATGAGAATGTATGGGAATCTATGAGAATCTGTGAATCTGTGAATGTATGTGAATATATGAATATTGATGGCTTTTATACCTATTCATACATGGAGAGGTTGGGCCTTAGCCTAATTGGCTTGCTTTGAGGGCTGACCTTTGACTTTAGCACAATTGGAGAGTTGAACCTTGACCTTGGGCTTTTAATTGGATCATTTAATGCCTAGGCCCAATTGGACTAAATTGGACCCAAACAGATCTAATTATGTTAAAATGAGTTTAAAAAGGTAGCCCAAGTTTTGATGTACGAAATATAGATAATACTATAATAGCGTTATTTTCCAAACTAGATCTGAATCATCATCACTCCATTCCTAATTAAAGTTGTTCCTAAGCCACAAAAAATGAAGAGAGGAAAAAAAAATATGAGCTTGAAAGTGCAAGAATGCAGCATGGTTTGCCCGGCAGGGGAGACCCCAAATCAAATTGTTAGGCTCACACGCCTAGATATGCTGGTACGTATACCTTTTTCACATAGCTCTTTTATATACATTTACCGGCCACAAGATAACCTAAACAATGATTCCTCAAATTTTTTCAACACGGCCGTGTTGTAAGAGGCTCTAAGTAGAGCCTTAGTGTCATTCTATCCGTTAGCGGGTAGGTTAAGGAAGAATGAGGGTAATGATGAAATTGAAGTAGATTGCAATGGGGAAGGGGTGCTATTCATAGAGGTCGAAACACCCTATGCCCTTAATGATTTCGTAGATGGAGATGGAGATAAAGACGGAGTCTTTAAGCCTAATGGTAAGTTTCGTAAAATGGTAAATCCTACATGGGATTACACCAAAGGGCTCTCTTCAATCCCCTTAATAATGGTGCAATTTACCCGCTTCAAATGCGGTAGTGTATGCATGGGTGTAGCCATGCACCATCATATTGGTGATGGAATTGCTTATGCGTACTTCATTAGCTCTTGGGCAAGGCTTTCCCGTGGTCTTGACCTCGCCGTCTTTCCTGTTCATGAGAGGTCGTTGATCCACCACCTTGCTCCTCGCAACCCACCACAGGTCAAGTTTAGGCACTTGGAGTTTGAGCCACGTTTACCACCCTTATCACCAAACGGCTGTTCATCAGGTAAGTAGACGATAATAGTTATCTACTCCGCCATCTATTTTTATTTATGTGTCATGGTTTGTTCAGTACATTTGTCAATGCACTACTTTAACTAATAATATCTTTAATTGTATAATTATAAATTATAAAAACTTGATATTTGCAAACAATGCTTTAAGACGATTTCAACAAGTATTCATTGATTATAATATATCTTACTTATAAGGTAAATATATTGGTTAAAGTGATGCAAGTGAATAGTGCCTAAGTCAAAATTGCACCATATCACATTATCACACATTTGCTTATTCACTATGACAATATGCGTGCTTATATGCTCATATATAATACAGAGTATAATAAAGCTATAACCAAAGGTAGCATGATAGCTAGTACTAATATATATATTCCAAATTAATTCGTGTGAAAGAACTAGCAACAATTTCATACTTGGAGATTTAATTTCCCTTTTTTTTTATTATTTCTACCACCGTTAACATTTACTTGCAATTTTGGGTATTATTTGGAACACATAAAATATTCCAAAGCTGCAAATAAATGTTAACGGAGGTAGTATTTTTTATCAACACATATTATAACCTTAGCTTTTGTCTATTCCATCGTACTCCCTCTAGTTTATTTAAGTGCTCCACTTTAACCTACACACTTGTCAATGCACAAGTTTGAAAAACAGTATTTTGAATTATCAATAAGTATAATTTATAAAAAGTTGATAGTTGGAAACTATGCTTTGAGACGATTAAAAAGTACTCATTGATTATGTTTTATCTTATGTATACAATGAACAAATATATTGATCAAAGCGATGCATATGTAAATATTGCGAAAGTCAAAGTAAGACACTTAAGTAATAACAGACGTACGTAGTATTCCATATGAGACTTAATTAAGTTTCTTCAATGCTTTATGCTTCGCTTACAAGTAACTTTGTATTAATAAACGATTAGGCGCTTGATACGAAGTAAGTGAGAAAGAGAGTTTAATGTTTCTAGGTTAGAGTGTGAGATGGGGAGTGATGATTAATTATAATACAAGTAATAAAAATCGAGGTACAATACAAGATTGAGATTTAATAACAACATTATCAACACATTTGTTATAATACTCTCCTCCCGAATAGAAGTAGCAAAGACCATTTGAAATATGGCTCACCTCCTATATAGTACAATTAAACTATATGGCTCACCTCCTATATAGTACAATTAAACTTAAAGTCGAAATCAAATCTTATTTACGTCATTTATCTGTTATATCTATTTCTACACTATAAAAAGTGCACATAAAATGATACACAAACTCATAATTTTGATGAAAAATAACCAACATTACTACATGTATCAGGTGATGCGGCAATGAATATGGAGGGTCTCTTCAGTCTTTCTAAACCTCAAATTAATGCATTGAAACTAAAAGCAGCATCATACAAAGTAGTAGACCAAGGTTACACACTAAGTACATTCGAGGTGGTCGCAGGGCATGTGTGGCGAAGTGCATGTATGGCGCGCGGATTAGCAAATGAGCAACAAGTAAAACTCTACATACCAATCGATGCAAGAACAAGATTAAAGGATCCAACCATACTATTAAAAGGGTATTACGGAAACTTGGTCTTCTTTGCGGCTTGTATTGCCAAAGTAGGAGACATTGTGAGCAAACCGCTTTGGTATACTGCAAGTATGATACATGAGACATTAGTAAGAATGCAAGATGTAGAATACTTGAAATCAGCCGTTGATTACTTAGAATTGCAATCGGATCCATTGGTTGTTCTTCGTGGGGCAGATAGTGTTACTAGTCCAAACCTTTTGATAAATTCTTGGGGTAGGATACCTTCATGTGAAGCAGATTTTGGTTGGGGTTGTCCAACGTTTTTCGGAAATGGTGGTGTTCGATACGAGGGGCTAGCATTCTTGATTCCAACCACGCATGGAGATGGTAGTTTTACATTGAGCATTAATCTTTACAAGATTCATATGCCTCTCTTCGAGAAATACTTGTATGACTTCCAGAGTACACCCAAGGTATAGGGTTTTGTATAATATGTACAAATACCCTGTTCAGTTCTTTCAGGCTTATTTTTCATAATCAGTTCAATTCAACTTGAGAGAGTATAAAACATATTCTTGTACCTTAATTATTTGCTTAAGCTTTTGGCACTACTAGAAAACAGCTTAATTTCGACGGAACCGTTCCGACGGACAAGAAAATCCGTCGGAAAGTACGAAATTTACGACGGAATTTAATTCCGTCGTAAATTTACGACGGATTTTCAATCCGTCGTAAATTTACGACGGATTATAACCCGTTTCCGACGGAATTTAATTTTTTTTTAAAAAAAAAGGAAAAAACCCCCAAAACCCTAATACTAAAATGGCGCCCCAACCCCCCTCATTCACAATCCGCCTCTCTTCTCCCTTTTCTCTCTCCTCTCCTCTTCTTATTTCTCTTTTCCCTCTGTGGCTCTGCCCCTTCCCTCTTTCAATCTCTTTCGCCTCTCCTCTTCCATTTCCTCTTCTCTCCTCTTCCCTTTCCTTTCCACTTATCTTCCTCTTGTGTATATCTGCAACATCAACCACCGACGTCGACCTAAAAATCCAAGGAATACCGACATCAACCATCTTCTCCATCAACCACCACCAAACCACCACCAACATCGACCGCAACAACATCAACAACGCTACAACGTAACAGCAACAACAACGACGCAACAATATTATAACAAAGCCGACTATTTTCAAGGTTTTTGTTTTGTAGATCTAGTTTTAATTTAGGTTAGATTATAGATCTAGTTAATTTCTTTGTAATTGTTATGTTAATTTATGAATTTTATTGGCTAATTGTATATTTTTGTAATTGTTATGTTAATTTATGAATTTTATTAGATAATTGTGTGGATTTTTTCGATTTCGTTGTTAATTTAAGATTTTTGGGCTAATTTTCGTTGTGGTGTTAATTTTCGAATATCTGGGGGTGGATTTTCATTTCGTTGGGGTTGATTTTTGTTTCGTTGGGTTTAATTTTCGTTTTTTGGTGTTTAATTTTCGTTTTTTTGGGTGTTTTCGGGATTTATTTTCATTTTTTGGGGTTCGATAATGGTGTGGTAGTGTCGGTGGTGGTGGGATAAGAACGATCTAGAGGTTCTGGAGTGGGGTCTGGTGGTTCTGGTGATTCTGGGGTGGGGGCTGGTGGTTTTGGGTGGGTGCAGTTTTTTTTTGTTTTTTTAATTAAATTTTCCGACGGAATTTCCGTCGTTATTTTCCGGCGGAATAATATCCGTCAGAAATTTCCGACGGACTTTCCTAGGCCCGAAAACCTCTTCAGACGGACTTCCGTCGAAAAAACGCTTTTCCAACGGAATTTTCGTTGGAAAAGTGCGTTTTTTCCGATAAAGTATATCGCGACAACCAGTTACGACGGATTTCCGTCGGAAACTGGTTTTCCGACGGAAAACGAGGTGTTTCCGACGGAAAATTTTCGTCGTAATTTGGCTGTTTTCTAGTAGTGTGGTTGAGATGGTCCTTTAATATCGTATCAGAGCCAACGTGACATAGAGGTCATGGGTTCGAAGCTCATCTACCCTTGTTCCTACTATTTATAGAGTTCCTCTAAGATACAGCTTCAAGTTTCATATGAAGGGCACCCTTGAAGACAGCAGTTTACAAGACTATTAGTTAACCAAGTTCAACATTGTTTCCAAGACTCGTATTGCATTAGGAACAAAAGTATAAACTGACATAATATACTCAATAAATACGAAGCAAGTTCATGAGATGTACCCCAATCTCAATGGCCTTAAAATCCTCTTGCAGAACAGACTGAAGAGAAGAGAGCGCAGTCTGCAAGCAAAAAGCACACAATTTTCAGTCATGTTAAGATGTATCAAAATATAATTGGGTTTTCAATTTTCCTATTAGATCCAATCCGAATAAATAAAAAATCGGTCATTTGGATCCGATCTAAAAATCCTAAAAATACATTAATTTTTAGCGCCTATTACGATTATAAAAATAAATATTCAATTTTAAAAATAGGGTTTGTCCAAGACTTAATATGGCTATTTCACCAAATGCCACTAAATAATTTAAAAATTCACCAAATGCCATCGGGTTTTTCAAAATTCACCAAATACAACTGACAAACATTATATTGTCATGACGTGTCATTAATGATGTATGGACGTCAATTTTCCGTTACTACAATTCTTAATTTACCAAATGCCACGGACTACTTTTGATTTTTCATGAAATGCCATTATTTATATAAATAATTACACAATATAACTATGACCTAATGAGTTATAACGACCAGTTAGTTTCAACTTTTTTGAATTTATTTGGGGTAAACTAGCCGTTACACCCAATTTGTTGTATAAATTTGATACTTAGAACACATATAGTAAGTAGCCCTCTATTTGCATAATCATGAGTATTGCATGTTACAAAAACTCTTTTGTACCGAATTTAATTGTGCCCGTTACCAATGAGGTTTTTTCTACTAGTGCACCAACAAAAAATTCCCAATTCTGTTTTTAAATTAGGTGTACTGATGTGTGTAATGGTTGTGACCGTAATGTTAAAGTAAACTATTGTAATTGCAATTAAATTGAATAAAGTGGGAAATTGAACATTCATTTAAGCATAATTGCTTAATGTTTAAATCAAGTGCTGGAAAAATTGCTTTATCGTTTACATCAAAATGCCCAAAACATAACAGAGAATCTGTCCATAAAAAAGATACCAAAAAACACAGCACATTGTTTGTTGGGGATTTTGTGTTCAAACAAGGATCACAAAGAAAGCAAATAAAATTAACGAAAAATATATATAAATAATTTATATAATTAATGGCATTTCATGAAAATTCAAAAGTAGTCGGTGGCATTTGGTGAATTAAGAATTGTAGTAACGGAAAGTTAACGGCCATACCTCATTAATGGCACGCCATGATAATATAATGTTTGTCAGTGGCATTTGGTGAATTTTGAAAAACCTGATGGCATTTGGTGAATTTTTAAAGTAGTCGGTGGCATTTGGTGAAATAACCGTATAATTTCCGAAAAATTATCCAAAAAAAAAAAAACATATTATGACATTATCACACATTCTTTACATTTCGTAATACTCTCCTGCATAGAAGTAGATAAAACCACTTGAAATATAGTTCTCTCCCTACATGAATATATTTAAAGTCAAAATCAATTCTCATCTATGTCATTTATCCATTGTAGCTATCTTTACACAATAAAAAGTGTACATAGAATGCCACACATTCTGAAAGTAATATGATCGATGCTTTGTCATTGATTTTCTTGAGTATATATATACAAAGTATCCGAGATATTCTCGGTATTGATCTGATTAGCTACAAGTTAGGCTAAGATCATGATTGATTTGCTACAAGTTACGCTGAGATCATGCTAGGATCAAGGCTAATATCACGCTAGGATAATTACAGTAGCTAAACTAATATATACAAAGTCAAAGAATATACATCCATATATTCTAACACTCCCCCGCAGTCGTAGCGGGAGCATCACGGACGCTAAGACTGGAACGAAAGTCATCAAATAATACCCGTGGAAGCCCTTTTGTAAAAATATCTGCAATTTGGTAACGGGAAGGGACATGTAATACGCGTACCTCGCCCTTTGCGACTTTCTCACAAACAAAATGAATGTCCATCTCAATGTGTTTTGTGCGTTGATGTTGCACTGGATTTCCAGAGAGGTAGATGGCACTCACATTGTCACAATAAACAATAGTTGTTGTTCGAATAGGAAAATAGAGCTCAAGTAACAAATTTCTGATCCAACAAGAATCAGATACCACATTAGCAACCCCACGATATTTGGCCTCTGCACTAGACTTAGATAATGTTGGTTGCCGTTTAGAAGACTAGGAAATCAAATTATCGCCTAAAATACACAATAACCTAAAGTAGATCGCCTGGTGTCGGGGCATCCCCCCCAATCCGCATCAGTATAAGCCACAAGTTTATTAATAGAGGACTTATACAAATGCAAACCATAAGACAGAGTACCCTGTAAGTAGCGTATGATACGCTTCAGAGCTCACATGTGCGCATTGCGCGGATCATGCATATGGAGACACACCTGTTGAACTGCATAAGAAATGTCAGGTCTAGTAAAAGTCAGATACTGAAGAGCACCTGCAAGACTCCTGTACTTAGTAGGATCCTCATATGGAGCATCATGAGAAGCACTAAGCTTTGATTTCGTGTCAACAGGTGTTGGACAAGGACTACAGTTAGACATGCCGGCCTTATCAATGATAGAAGAAGCATACTGTGTCTGAGACAAGAACAGACCATTATCATCACGAGTTACAACGATGCCCAAAAAGAAACTCAAAGGACCTAAATCCTTCATTGCAAATTCGGAGCTCAAAAGATCCATAATACGGGTCCGGAGACGGTTAGAAGATGCTGTAAGAATGATATCATCAACATATAACAGAATATAAGCAGTATCAGATCCCTGCCTATAAATAAATTGAGAATTATCAGATTTACTGTTAGCAAATCCAATAGAGATGACAAAATCTGCAAACCGCTGATACCAGGCTCGAGGAGCCTGTTTGAGACCATATAGGGATCCTCGTAGTAGACACACATGATCAGGACGACTTTTGTCGCGAAAACCCATGGGCTGATGCATATAAACTGTTTCATTGAGATGACCATGCAGAAAAGCATTCTTGACATCCAGTTGATGGATCGGCCAAGAGTGAGGAATAGCAATGCTGAGAACTGTACGAATGGTAGCCAGTTTGACAATCGGACTGAAAGTCTCATCACAATCAATACCCTGCTGCTGAGTCTTACCATCAGCTACAAGACGAGCCTTATACCGCTCAAAAGAACCATCAGAATTTCGTTTATGACGAAATATCCACATAGAACGAATAACATTCACATTAGGTGGCCGAGGAACCAAATCCCATGTATGATTATCAATAAGAGCATTATATTCGTCTAACATTGCATTTTTCCAATTAGGGTCACGGATAGCACTAACCGGGTCCTTTGGGATAGGAGAAATGGTGGTAGTGGTCATCGTGTTTAGGTTGGAAAAATATTTTGGGTTAGGCTTGACAATGCCATCTTTGGCTCGGGTAGTCATAGGATGGGATTGGGTGGGTTGCTGGCCGAGAGTGTGGGTGGTGGAGGCGGGACTGTCAATGGCAGCGTGGGTGGTGTGGCTGTTGGCAGTCAGTGGGGAGGTGGGTTCCTCACATTGTGAGGAATTGGGAAATGGGCTGTCAAAATGGGGAAGGTGCAAAACCGGTGTATGCTGTTGGGTTTGCTGGGAGCCCGCATTTAGAGTTGTGACAGAAGTGTGGGATAATGGGCTAGAGGGGGGAGATGGCCCAGAAGATGTGGGAAAACTTGGCTGCCCATGAGATGGGACGGACTGGGCTGGAGAAAGCCCATGGAGTGGCTCGAATTGGGCTGGAGAGGGAGGATTAGGGGGTTGAGTGGTGCGCAAATGGTGTAGGTGATTTAATGGATTGTAGTCCAAAAAATCATAATCACTAATTTTCGGTTGGTGATATTTTGAGAACGAAAATTCGTATTCAATAAATTTCACATGCCTACAAATTATGATTTTCCCATTTGATAGATTATAGCACTTCGAACCACGATGATTAGGTTCAGGGCCAAGATAGACACAAGGAGTGGACCGTTCTTGCAATTTGTTGATAGAAGTGGAAGGGAAGAGAGGAAAACATAAGCAACCAAAGACTCGTAATGCCGAATAAATTGGATCACATCGGTATAAAACTTGAGTAGGAGACTTATAGCCTAAGACCTTGGTTGGTAAAATGTTTAGAAGATAAGTAGTCATGGCTAGAGCATGATGCCAAAAAGAATGTGGCAAGGAAGCATGAGCAAGAAGGGTCCGAATAATATTATTAATTGATTTTATGTGGCGTTCAGCTTTTCCATTTTGAGGAGATGTGTGAGGACAAGAGAGACGAAAGAGCATGCCATGATTTTCAAAAAAAGTTTTATGAGTACCATTAACATACTCGGAGCCATTATCACATTGAAAAGTCTTAATGTTACGTTCAAATTGAGTTGGACTATCTTATGAAAAGATTGAAAGAGATGTTTAACCTGGGATTTCCGTGCAATAGGATAAGTCCACAAAAATTTGTTGTAATCATCAAGAAACAAGAGATAATAACCATGACCTGATGAACTAAGAATAGGCGAAGTCCATATATCACTATGAATAATATCAAATGGAAAAGAAGTGTGCGACATAGAATTAGAAAAAGGTAGTTTAACTTGTTTCCCTAAAGGACACGAAGAACAAAAAGAATTACAAGCCTTATTACATTTAATTAGTTTCTGATTACTTAAAGATCTAAGAACGACATTGTCGGGGTGTCCTAAACGATTATGCCAAAGATCGGAAGAAAGAGCAGAAAAATTGGAATGTGTGACGGAAGAGTTGGCTTGACTTGTTGGAACTATTGGATATAGGTCACCAGTACTGTCACATCTCATTAGTTGGGCCCCCGTCTGTAAATCATTCACAGAAAACCCATAAGGATCAAAGGAAATAGAAACCATATTGTCAGTCGTGAATTTACGGACGGATATCAAGTTCTTTATTATTTTAGGAGCATGCAAAACATGGTTTAGGGTAAATGGAGGGTATGGGGAGGGCAAAGTAGCACTACCATGACCAATAATTGGAACTAAATCACCACTACCAACAACAATGTTATGATTTTTAATGCTCGAATTGACATAAGTAGAGAGAATACCTTGATCGACCGTCATATGAGATGTGGCGCCAGTGTCCATGTAATAATTGGGATCCGAACGGTTAAGATTAGCAAGCATTTGCATAGCAGCTTCAATATGAGTAGGGGTAGGAATCGGACCATTTTCTTGAGTACTGTACGCTTGAGGAGGTGGGCCCAATATACCAGGCCCATTAGGCCTTGAACCAGTTGAAGAAGAAGCAGATCGTGGAGCCCACGACTGAGTTGGATAGGGGCATGGAGGACTGGGCCACTGGCCCAGCCACGGTGGCCATGAATACGGTCCTTGAGGAAATTGGCCAAGGCTGCCTTGGGTTTGGGCCTGATTGCTGATGGGCTGGCCCATTCGTGCGGCCTTTATTAGAAGTCTTAGAATTAGACTTCTTTTGTTGCTTGTTTCTGGTGTTCCCCCGAGATGAGTTCCCAGAGGTGTCTGCTTGGTTCTGACTTCCGGTGGAGGAGATGAGGGCGGCCTGCTGGCGGCTAGTGGCACCACCCTCCTTGGCGAGGCGGTTCTTGATGGTGCGCTCGGCGAGCTTGAGTCGGGAACGGCAGCTCTCGAAGGAAGGAAGTGGCTCTTGATTTTGTATAAAATCAACTGTGCCGGCATAGGCTTCAGGAAGACCGGAGGTCATCTTTAGGATTAGACGAGTATCGGGAATCGGAGCATCAACATCCGCAAGACGATCAGCAAGGGATTTGATGTGATTGCAATAGTCGTCAATGGAGGTGAAATTCTCGAAATCAAGGTCAGCATGTTCTTGTTCGAGATGGGAAGCTCGGGCTGCTTTGTTGTCTTGGAACATAGACTCGAGACGAGCCCAAGCTCCTTGAGCGGTGTCATCTTTAAGAAGGATTGGCAGTGAGGAGGTTGTGAGAAATAGAACCGTAGATCCAATTAAGGACCGCGGCATCAAGGCGTTTCCAATAGGCCAAGTCTGCCGTTTTGTTTTTCTCGTATGTAGCGAGTTCCGTCGCCTCCGTAGGAGGTATGATGTGAAATGTAAGGTCGTGAACCCTACAAAGCACCTTGAAGAGGGCGGCCCAGGAGTGGTACATTCCAGCGGTGTCCAAAGTGATCGGGAGGAGAGATTTTACGTTTGTGATAGCAAAAGCAGGGTGATATTTTGGAGTGTCTGCCATGGAATGTTGCAGCGGAAGACGAAGAAAATTTGAGGAAGGAGGAGGAGATGGGCCGTGAGTAAGAGGGAAAGAAGAAGGTTAGGATCGAAACCTTTAATCTGATACCATGAAAGTAATATGATCGATGCTTTGTCATTGATTTTCTTGAGTATATATATACAAAGTATCCGAGATATACTCGGTATTGATTAGCTACAAGTTAGGCTAAGATCATGATTGATTTGCTACAAGTTAGGCTGAGATCATGCTAGGATCAAGGCTAATATCACGCTAGGATAATTACAGTAGCTAAACTAATATATACAAAGTCAAAGAATATATATCCATATATTCTAACACATACTCATAGTTTTGGACTTTTGGTGAGGAGTTTTAGCATTACTACATGTATCAGGTGATGCGGCAATCACTATTAAGGATCTCTTCGGTCTTTCTAAACCTCAAATTAATGCATTGAAACTAGAAGCAACATCGCACAAATCAGTAGATCAACTGATCAAGGTTAGCAAGACGTGTGTCGGAGTGCATGTATGGCGCGTGGATTAGCAAGTTAGAAATTGATGCAAGATCAACCGATTAACCCTACCAAAAGGGTATTACGGCAACTTAGTCTTCTTCACAGCTTGTATTGCCAAAGTAGGAGACATTGTAAGCAAAGCAAGCCGCTGTGGTACACTACAAATAAAATACATGAGACACTAGAAAGAATACAAGATGTCGAAAACTTGGTTGATTACTTAGCATCGCATTCGAATCCTATGGTTCTTCTTCTTGGGGCAGACGATGTTACCAGTCCAAATCTTTAGATAAATTCTTGAAGTAGGATACCTTTTACGAAGCAGATTTTGGTTGGGATGGTCCAACATTTTTCAGAAATGATGGTGTTTGAAACGAAGGGCTCACATTCTAGATTCCGACCACGCATCGAGATGGTAGTTTTAGTGTTTTACGTTGGGCATTAAACATTACAAGATTCACATGCCTCTTGAGAAATTGTTGTACGACTCCAAAGTACACCCAACGTATAAGCTTTTGTATACGTAAAAGTATACTACACTTTTAGCCTTTAGGCTTATTTATCATAATCAGTTCAATTCAACTCAAATCAGTTTTAATTAAGTTCAACTCATCTTAACATATTTACTATTTATTATTATCTTATTACTCTATTCAGTCCAAAAGAACAAGAACTAGCAAGTTGCCCCTTAATGGGTTTCTTTAATAATTAGGGAGTTATTTAATTTGTGACAATTGAAATGTTTTAGGTATAGAATTTTTTAACTCCTAGGCTGTATTAATTCCTAAAAAAATAACATGGATTAACTTAATCAAATGCCCCTAGACAGAGAAAAGAAAAACTGTTGAGAAATTACTTATAATACAGTGCTAGAAAAATAGGCATTTTGGACAGTGAGGTAAATGATCTCACATTGAAAAATCAACCTCTAAGATGCAGCTTCAAGTTTCATACAAAAGATTGCACAATAAGATTGTCGAAGTAAAACCCAAGGAAACGACCTACTGCATGACCTGCCTTGACTGCCAAATAGAGACAGCCGAGAAGGAAGCAAACTAGTGCAAAGCTACCAAGCATCTAAACCATTTTCATCAACTTGCACAGAAGCTCTTTGAAATAATAATCCCTTTAAGTTTGAAACATCAACAATTATCTGATGCTACAGTAAATATAAAAGGCAAAGAGTTCTACCAACGGCTACTGCAATTTCAGGTTAGGAGGTTGAGAACATCTTTCACATCAGCAGTACTAGCACACTTGGCAAACTATGCCAGCCACCTAGTTAAACACATCCAAATCAATCACGCTCACTAATGGCTGTCAAGTGCTCATCAATCTCCTCGGTTGCAAGCGACCTGAAAACTGGATTCCCAACTTGAACAACTCCCACCTGGAAACAATTGGCAACTCATTCTGTTATGATTATAACCCTAGTAAAATCATAATTTTTTAAAAATTAAACAGACTAGCATATTTCATGAGCTGATTTTGCATCAGAAGTTCCCAATGCAATAAGTTTCTGCAATGAAAATTCGAATTTTTGTTTCCCAAAGGGCACCCATGAAGACAGTTTACAAGTCTACTAGTTAACCATGTCCAACATTGTTTCCAAGATACGTATTGCATTAAGAACAAAAGTATAAACAGACATAACAAACTCAATAAATACAAAGCAAACTTCATGAGATGTACCTCAATCTCAGTGGCCTTAAAATCCTCTTGCAGAACAGACTGAAGAGCAGAGATCGCAGTCTGCAAGGAAGAAAAACACACAACTTTCAGTCACATCAAGATCTATTGTTTTCATCAAAAAATAGTCTATTATTAGCACAAGATGTATCCATCAACATATCTACAAATAAAAATTTAGTAATGAGTAATGGCTGATCACAGACGTTAACTAGTAAACACCGTAAATGTCAACAGCACCAAATGGTGATTGGTGACAAATACTTTTTGTAGGTAAATTTTCATAAACATAAATTACCACGTTTACAAGTACCATAACATATATATACAGGACAGATTCAAGCTTTTCACCAACTTAACAATATAACTCGGGAATTTCCCAGCGCATGGCATGAAGCAGTAAGAATGCAATGGCACAACACCCTCTTATAAATAAGAATTTACAAAACAAAGCAATAACATAACACTAACAACTATTAGTTGAAATAAACATTTTCTTAGCCTCAAGGCCCCAATGCAAAGACATATTTTACACAAAATCTGCAAGTAAAAGAAGTGGATCCTCCAAATAAATAATTAATCAGTATAGCACTGCTGATTTCACATTTGACAATCACTTCCCCCCTTCCATATTTCCCTTCACACTAGAATGTAAGAAAGAGAAGACGCATATTGTTGCAGCAATTGAGGATACAAAAGAAAAGCAGGCTAGATTGCATACCTGCACAGTTTCCTCAAAGGAGAAAGCAGGATCATTTTTCATTTTTTTCTCCAGAAAATTAATGGCTTCTTGATCTTTAGCTCCAGCGCTTGTGGCCTATAATAAACAAGCATATAATCAAAATTGTTTCCAAACTTTTGCAGTATTGCTACAATAAAACTGACATAAGTTATACCTGGCTAATTTCTACCAAAAAAAAAGTGCCAGTTTTAGACACAATTCACAAAATCATCCCTAACTTGGAATAAAAAACCAACCAACATAGATTCGCTACCCTCAAGTCTTTAATTGTATTCTCATACCCACCAACTACCACTAATCAAACAATTAGCAACTAAATAACCACTAAATGGCTACAAACCCTATATTGGAATCTGATCGAATTTCTCTAGATAAAAATCCTTAAGAGCCCCATTTTATCTATCAAGTAATCATGTTGATCAAACTAGAAACATTACTCTTTAATTTAGGCTGCAATCACCATCTTCAACCACCAAAAGTCCAAATCAAACACAATGACCACCCAAGTGAACAAAAAATCTAAAGAACAATACATAACACAACCTGATCTCAGTCTCTCTCTGTCATATGGCAGATAGAAATGATGGTGTGCATCTATGATCACCAAGAAGGACAGCTATTGATCACTCAAACCAGTCACCACTTTCCTTTCTATGAGAACAATTAGTATTTACTCCTTCCGTTTCATATTAATTGTAATAATAAGCGTTGCACAGAGGTTTAGGAAAATTAAAGGGTTTGGACCCTTTAATTAAAAGTGTGAATTTTATAACATAAGATTAGGTTTTTTTAAAGGTAATATGAAGTATAGTTAGCACCATAGTGGGGGTATATTTAATTAATAGTGAGAAATTTTTTCTAAAAAATGTGTAAAGGGGTTGGTGGGAAAGAAAAATAATAAAATAGTAATGGTTCATTATCAAATAAGGTAACGTTGCAAATTCAGAAGCGGATGAAAAAGGAAATTGCCAGGCTTAAAAAGAGAGATAAATTGCAAATTGAGAACAATTGTTTAAGAGTAATTCACAAAATGTTGATGAATTGAATGAAAGAAATTAAGAGAAAGGGGAGGATAGAAGAACTTAGATTGTTACTAAATGATGTTTATATTTCTCTCTTTTTGAAATCATGGGCTTTGTATCCATTCCGAATTAAGTCAAAACTGCAAAATCATACAAGTACCAGACTTCAATAAAGGGATTTAGGGTTGAAGAAGGGATTTTAATTACAGACTTGGTGATTGATGGTGAAATGTGGCTTTGAGAATTCAAATGAGGACTTAAGGCCTTAAGGATGGTTATGAGAATAATCCCCTCAACAAAAGGTAGTTATTGTTTAAGAATCTTGCATCAAGTAGAAACTCGAAAGTAGACGTTTTGATGTATGAAAATCACAATAGGTTTGAGGGAGCCTTCAATTCAATGCAACATAAAGATTCTAGCCTTTTTCCAACCTTACTTATAAGTTTATTTTAACTTAAACTTTGCAGCTCAAGTTAACACCAACACCAAGCAATGACCACACCATATGAGCTCTATTCTAAGTTGTCATGACTCACCAATAGATATTAAAAATCTCTATATGAGAGGAGCATATTGCAGTCCAAAAAGAATACCTTGTGACCATAAAAGTGTCCAGCGGGATCACATTTAAATAGTTGAGGTCCATTCTCTTCATCAATTCCAATAACAATAGCCACTACATGTATAGGAAAATATAAAGGCATTTAGGAAAGGCCAAATGTAAAATCACAAAATAAAGCTCAGAGGAAAAAGATTTATTATGACAAGCAGAAGCAGACTTGGCACACACCTACTCCAAGAGGTCTCATGTAGGCATGCTGAGTATATACTTGAGACTTATCTGCAATCCTATACACAAACAACAAACGAGTTATAACATCAAAATCACATAGCAAAAGTTGAATAGTCAAAAAAACTATCGTGTCACCTGAAAATAACAATTAACCAAAACAGGAGGGGTGGGGGGACTTAACATCAACAGAACCCGTATATTAATTCATTACTGTACTTAGTTGCATGGCTCAGTAAGTCAAGGAAAGTAAAGCATCTTGCTTGAACGCAGGCACGGGAGCACACGGGGGTAAATAAATTTTTTCTTATTTCTTTGAAAAATAGATAAATAATTATTTTTTTAAATCACAATTCTAGCAAAGTTAAAGATCAAAAAAAGATCAACAATAAGAATCCTAAAAGATAAATATGTAAAGTTTATCAAAAATCAAGCCCTCAGCTCTTATTGAACTTGCTCTTATTGAACTTGTTCAAACTGGTCTTATGTTTACACATTTCACTAAAGCCAGTCCCTTCCAGAGCAGCAGCAATACTGACAAGATGACAATGGCAATAATAATAATAATAACAACAATAACAATAATACTCCGTAATAATAATTGTAATGAGAAAGAAGACGAAGACGACAATGAAGAAGGTGGTAATTGTGGTGGAGGTGGTGGTAGTTTACATTGCCAAATTGCCAAGAACCAAAGCTGCAGCTCATGAAAAGGAGGCTTATATGAAATCAATAAAATCATATAGATTTTCCATCATTAGGCTTTTTCAAAAAATTTAACAAATTCAGAAAGTCATCAACCAAAAGCAACGACCCGGCAACAATATTTTGATTATAATACACAAATTTCAAATAAACATGCTAATAGACAAGGAAAACATATCCAGCACACACCATTAGTCATTGGACATGAAGCAGAACAAATGCATCATGTAACCACATTTTTAATTATGTTCAATTTAAGGTTGAATAATTTCTCATTTCAGTGATTCTGTTCAACATGTGGCACAACTGGAGGACAAGTGAACAGAACCAGGGTCTAAAAAAAAGATGTTGCACCTCAGCTAACAAAGTACAGTGCTATAATTTTGAAAATATAGTTTACCCAAGTAACCAATGAAACCAGAAACCTCCAACTTTCTATTCAAAGCCTCTTTTATAAGTACATTCTTACAAATTACAAGCCTTAACAGCAAACACAATACAAAGGCAACCTATAAATTTCAACAAGAATTTCTCACCTAATGAAAAATCGATCATCCATATCCAAGAGAAATTAGGAAATAAAAAATACATACCATCTAGCCAATGAATCCACTGGCATTTCGTATCCATATTTATGACGAAACTCAGCTGCTTCATTCCTTGCTTGTTGAACCAAATTCCTAGAATCAGCTGATCAAAGAATCCACCTCATTAATGGTAGAAGCTTTTGAAACAATCGATTCATTAAATCTAATATTGTCAAATCAATAATTTCCTCAACCAATTCCATTGAGCAATCAAATTTAATTATAAATACTCTATAGTAAAAACAATATTAGACACATGATCCACAATAGCTTCTCTATTCACTCATCGAAAACAAAGCTCATATAGCAATGACCATGACTAACCCATCACAACAACATCATCCAAGAACTCGAACCGAGAACAATTCCAGACTTTTAAAATATTTCAATTAAAACTATCTTCAATCCATAAACACTATGAGTTCAAGTTAACATGACTCAAGCCTTCAAATTTCTACTTACATATTGTCATCCCAACATTTTTCAATCATTTGTTCTCCATTTTAATAATTGGAAAACCAAAATCATTAAGAACAACAAATCACCCACCTGTCATTCCAGTGGCAAGCAACCCTATAAACTTGGTGATTTTGAAAAGGTGTGAAACACTAGTTTGATCCAAAAGCTTGTCCTGTAATCCAAACATCAACCAAAAACAATCAAAAAATCACCCCCAAAACATTAAAAATTAATGGAAAAAAATCAAATTAAAAAGAAAAATTACTAACAGGAACTTTCTTCTGGGTAACGACACAAACTGAATCTTTCCCACGAACAGCAATCGATGTAATTCCACCAGATTTCACTGCCTTAAACGCATATTCTGATACCCAAAAACAAAAATAAAATCAGCGATAAACCCTAAAAATTGATCTAATATATATGAAAAATTGAGATTAAAATGATAGATCTTGAGGATGAAATTGAGCATACCAACTTGGAAGAGACGACCTTCAGGAGAGAAGATCGTAATGTGTCGATCATAGCCTGCTCCGCTGCCTCTACTCATGCTTGTTTGTTGTTGTTCTGCTGAATCAAGTGTAAATTTAGGAGAGAGAAAATAGGGAGAGAGTGAGTTTGGGAAATGAGGAAAAGAATTTTGGGGGTTTAAAGTGGGGAAGTAGTAGCGCTTTTGGTGCCTTTTTGCGCAAGCCAGCCTCGTCTTTGCTTTTATGCCGTTGCTAATTACCGATACCGTCCTCGTGATTTTAGTATCATTTGTTAAACATCGCCCACAAATTACTACACAAAGCCCACAAAATTCACTTGGTTTGCCAAAATTGCCCTTGACCTTAAAAAAAAAAAACACTCACACTCTCATCACTCACACTCTCATTGCTCATCTTCTTTCAACCTCTCTAAAAAAAAAAAAATTCAAATAACGGCAATGTCGAGGCGACAAGGCAAGGAATTGGCGGCGGCGGCGGAGGGAAGGATGTCCCAAGGAGGAAAGGTACATTTTGTTTAAAAAAAAAAAAAAAAAGGGAAAAACCGCCGTGACCGCGGTGGGGCGCCCTGGCTGGACGCCCAGCCAGCGGTGGTGGCGCCAGCTGCAGACGCCGCCACCAGTTGGCTGGCGCCTGGGCTGGACGCCACAGCCACGGTTGTGGCGTTTATTCAAGGCGCTGCAGCCGTGGCTGTGGCGTCCAGCCCAGGCGCCAGCCAACTGGTGGCGGCGTCTGCAGCTGGCGCCACCACCGCTGGCTGGGCGTCCAGCCAGGGCGCCCCCCCCCATTTTTTTTTTTTTTTTTTAAAAAAAATTGTTTTTAATTTTTTTTTTTTTTTTGTGTAATATAATTTTGAATTGTTTTTATATTTTGTTGTTTATTTTTATAAATTTTTTCAATTTCGTTGTATTTTTTCTACGTTTATATTTTGTTTACAATTATTTGTATGTTTTTAGTTTATTTGATTTGCGATGATGATTATTTATCGTATAAATTTTTGTATGTTTATATATTTTAAAATTTTGTGTAGAATTCACTGGGTCGTCATGGTGCGGGGAAGAATATAGAGCTTCTTAGTAGAAGTTATTCAGTGGAGAGGTCGGGGCATAGACATGTCAGATCCCGTGGTATTTCGGCCTCAGTTCGTAGAGAACGGATCCACCGTCGGGATGAGGATGACGATGACGATGATGATGCTGAGGAGGGTGACCAGGAGGAGGAGCAGGAGGAGGGCGCAGATGAGGATGAGGATGTGGACGATGGCAGTGGACCGTATGATGATTACGGTCCATTCAGTCAGAGGGTTGATGACATGTACGAGACGCATATGGTGGAGGTGCGTAAGGGTAGGGGTGGTAGGTTTGTTAGTAGATCTGGCACATCATCTGCGTCCACTGTATCTGGGGCAAGCAGGAAACGGTCGAGGGTCGGTAATGATTCTTGGGTTGTTAGGAGTGAGGTGCCCGGTGGGCCTGTTGACGGGAGTGTGATTCCTAGCTTTCTAGGACACATAGCTGCCCGTATTTGGGAGGACCAGGAGAGGCCTTCAGTTACGGGGTTGTTGAAATGTCATACCCGGGAAAAGACTTGTAGCTTTTTGCGTACATGGGCTGAGGCCTGGCCGGCGGAGAGCGAGATGTTCGAGCGACTGGAGGGCACTGGGGTGAATCACGTTCCTGCCACCATGCACGATAAGATTGACAGTACGCTGATCACGGCTTTCATTGAGCGATGGCAGCCGGATACAAACTCTTTCCACCTTCCGTTCGGTGAGATGACGATCATGTTACATGACGTCGAGGCCATTCTGGGGATTCGTGTTGAGGGTAAACGACTTTGTGCTGTGGCTGATGCGGATCAGGCAGATTCGCTGGCGGAGTTGTTGGCGGTGGACAGGGCTGCACTGTACACCGTGGCGCTAGGTGTTTGGGAACACGGAGGTGTGAAGATCGCATCCGTGTTGCAGCGGTGTTTGTACCCCAGTGCACGTAGGACGCCCGACGCACAGCTGAGTGCTTATGTTTTTCTACTCCTCGGATGTACCTTGTTTCCGGATAAGAGCGGCGGAAACAAGCTCAGGCCACGCGACATCGTAGAGGCGTGTGACCCCGACAGTGTAGGCTAGTTTTCCTGGGGATCGGCTACGTTGGCGTATTTGTATCGCCAACTAGGATTTGCGAGTCAGGCTGACGCGGCAGGTATCACTGGGTGTCTGACTCTATTACAGACCTGGATATACGAGTACTTTCCTGCATTGCGACCACATCGTGACCCAGTTCCTATTGATGAGGGGATGCCGCGTGCTTGTGCGTGGAGTCCGCGCTCGGAGAAGAAGTCCGTTGACCGCCTCCGATCGATACGGTTATTGCTGGACAGGTTGTCCCCCTTAGAGGTAACGTTTATTTATAGAGTCTACATTTTATTATTTGCACATATTATATTCATGTTATTAAATTTTATATGTTGTTATTGTACAGGTGAACTGGATGCCTTTCGGCCCGAACCCTAGTGTTAGGGTACCCAGGACCCTGTACACGGGACTCATTCAGTATCGTGACATCGTCGAGGCATACATGCCCCAGCGTTGTCTTCGCCAGCTTGGATTTGTCCAAGTTGTCCCTCCTCCCTCGGCGTGCCCGATGAAGGCGGTCCGACCTGCATCGTCGAGGGACTACGTCGTGGAATGGCCAGATATCATGACCGGGACGTGGGACCAGTTTCCTTGGTGGCCCGCTTATGGACTGCGGAGTTGCAGCGGCCGCTCTCTGGGGTTACTCCCATGTGTGACCATTACTACATGGAATGGTTCAACCGGTATTCGCACCCGAGGTTGATCGCTGATCTCGACCACAGCGATGATGATTATGTGCCACCGCCTACTGCCACGGAAGCGGTATGTCTTTTATTATATTTATCGTTGTCTTTTAATTAAGTTTTATTTGTTGTTATTGTATTTCATCTTCTGTTTTTTGTTGTATGCAGTGGATGGGAAAGATAATGCAGGACGTACAGAAACTCTCTCTTGAGAAGGACAGCATGAGTGCAACAGGGAGAGCTGTTGTTGATAGTCTGGAACAGACCCTTGCGCAGTGGGAGTTGTCGTCGAGGAGGGATTACTGATGGTTTTGTCATTTTATTTATAGAGCATTATGTTGGACATTATGTTGTAAAATTGTAACATTTTAGATTGTTCTTTTAGCTTCCAACTTAAACATATTATCAGTGCTGTTTTTAAATTTTGATATAACCGTTCGTGGATCCGCGCAACTTACCCATGCAACATATAGAATGCAGTAAGCAATACAATATAAAATATTAATGTTCTCATTAAAAGAGCAACGTACAAATAAGATTACAAATAAAGAATGTAAACATGAAAAACTAAAATGCAGCTAGGGTGTTCCATTCGTGGATCCGGTCATTATATAGCGCATCCCAACCCTCTACGCTCGCTGTGCGAATGTTGTACCACCGAGGTATAATCGGTGGCACTGGAAAATCGGTTGACATGTCTAGTCGGATGAAATGTCTGTATGACGACCCAAGAAACGCAATAGCTAGCTCTCTGACCGGTGTGGTGACAGTCTCACGCGACCGCCAAGGGAGAACCGTGGTACAAGGATAATAAGCTTGACTATGCACTCCCAGGCCGAAATGCATGACTGTGCATTTGTAAATGTTTGCAACGGCAAACAGATCTAGGGGCGCGTCAAAATAATGATTTTCGCCGCAAGGTCCACCTCCCCACCGGATACGCCGCAGAGCGCCATCCAAGTCATCCTGGTACACATGACGATAAACATTTCGGTTAGAGGCAATTTCGCTGTACATCAACTCACGCACCAAACCGTAGTTGTCTTCGCCCATTTGAAAAACATCAGCCACGACCCGGAATCCGCAGTTACCATCTCCGATTACATCATTCCACCCTTCCAAGTACGACATGATGATCTAAGTTAGACGGGTGGAACATGTCATGAAGTACATGAGTAGCGTCACGAATAATAGAAGGATGGCTGGAGGACACTCGGTCGTACATCGAACGGAACTGCTCCAACTCCTCCTGTTCACGGTCGGCCGTTTGATTGTCTGCATGCTCACCAATAACAAGCGTCCTCCAGAATGAATGGACCTGATCAACATGTAACGACGCCCTTTCTTCTGTAATAACGCGGTGAATGGTGCATGCGCAAGGTAATCCATGAGTTACTGAAATAGTACACCCACACCGAGTATACACTTCGTCAGCCAAGTCCCTCACCCTGTTCAGCTCAGTGAGAATCAACCCCAAGCAGTAGTGCGACACACGACCATGGAGAATCTTAAATATAAAATGGCTATACATCGTACCATGTCGTCGTCTGGAGACCTCTAGAGAGTTCCTGATGTCGTTCTTCTGAGTTTCAATTGACTTGTTCAGTCTAGCGAACAGTGTATCCAAAGCAGCGGTCGATGAATAATTCCAGTCCTTGGTAGCTCTATGAGCGCTCTCAACTCTACATGTTGTAGTGTTCCCAAAATGAAGTACCTGGTTTGTCCAATATTTGACAAACTTTTCCCTGTGAGGGACCCATTGATGCATCACATAGTCCACCAGTGCCGGACACCACTGGTACGAATCCCTGAAGTTAGCCAATGCTCGCTCATACGCTTCCTCTGTGGTAGCCTGTAGGATCTTCCGCCACTTACCATTCACCAATCTCTCTGCCATTTCCAAATTCTTCTTGAAAAGGTTGTAGGCTTTCACTTTCACGCAGTTGTTGATGTGCCATGTGCACAATAAGTGGTTCGATTCGGGAAACAGCTCTGCTATGGGGGCAAAGAGACCTCCCTCACAGTCGCTGACGATGGCTGCTGGATGAACATTAGGCCCGATGTAGTTTCTCAGCTTCTCCAACACCCAATAATAACTTGGAGCCGTCTCATCCCTGATGATTGCATGACCAATCAGAAAGTTCTGGTTCGTTGGAGCCATCCCAACCATCTCAACCAGTGGGAACTTGTACTTGTTTGTCTTGTACGTTGAGTCGATCAAAATCACAAATGGCCAAGACTTGATCATATCAGCACAATCAGGATGCACAAGGAAAAGATGAGTCACCTCCGCTGTATCTTCATCAGAATCAAACCAGAACAGGTAACCACGTGATTGTGCCTGGTGTAGCAGCTGCTGTATAGGGTTCCTTCCCTCTGACCGTTCAA